CGGAACATGACGGTGGACACGGGAAACACACGCGTGAAAACACGGACATTTAACGATAATACACGACTTTGACGACAGATTTGGCCAAAGACGCTGGTGTAGTTCTACTGTGTGTGTGTGTGTGTGTGTGTGTGTGTGTGTGTGTGTGGAGGGAGGGCAGGCTTTACTTCTAGGATGTGTGTGTGTGTGTTTTTTTTTCTTTCTCCTTCAGTGTGGACGTGCCAGAATTCTACAATCAGTTTTTTTGACTCGACTTTTTATTTTTTCATCTTCTGCCAGTTTGTTCACACATTTTCTGGCACGAGAAAGATACAAGTTATAAAAATGAATTTTCTCTTTTGATGAACCCGAAAATAGGGTCAAATGTTTTTATTTATTTACTTCCAACAAAAGGAAGTTTCTTTTTTACGTTTCTGCTCAAGTCTGCGCACGATTTACGCATCATTTCAGCAGCTTTCTTGAAAACAAAGTTGTTGTTATTTTTTTAATTAAATATTTTCCAACTCAGTATCGTGGATGAAAACTAGCATCAGCAGCTGCTAGCATGTTAGCAGTTGTTCTTCTGTTTGGACAGTGAACACTGTGAAAAGTGCGTTTGTTTTTAGTCCAAATCCACGGTTGTTGCTCGATGTTTTGATGCTAACATGACTCATAAACGGTTGATGCTAACTGTGGTTCACGTCGACTAAACCCGGGACACGTTTAGTTTTCTGGCTGTTGTTGTTAACTTTATTAATGTATATTATATTTCGGTGCAAACTCGTCCACAGTGAGTGACGTGACGTGAACGTGTTAACGGTAAATTCACACGTCGTTACTCCTTCGGTTTTCACAGCTACAAACTCGTTTTTTGTTTGTTTGTTTGTTTTTTAATTTAGTGACAAAAGGCCAAAACACCGGTTTTGTCAATATTTTTCGTCCCATTCTTCAGAGTAAAGTTGTTGATATTCTGTTGGAAATGTTTACGTCACTGGGTTTTTTTTTATGGCGTTACTTTTGAATTTGGCGAAATTATCCTGGCGATTCTTGTGATTTCTCAACAGTTACGTGATATTTTGGGTGATAAGAAAATACAAACGAGCAGAATGTGTTTGAAAAGCGTTTCTATAGAAAGAAAGTTCAAAAATATCCCTTTAATGTCAGCAGCCAACCAGCCTTGGTTTAAATGTGTGGACTTTGTCTTCAAACTGGACGTGGACCAGACGAACGCACACACGCAAATCTTACTCAGATTTTTTGGTTGATTGTTTTTAAAGTGGGGGGATTATATTTAAAAAAAAATCCTGATTTTTTTTTTAGCTTAAGCTGAGATTTTTCTTTCTTTTTTTTTGGTTAGCAACTAAAGAGCACATTTACAAACATAAGAACATTTTTTATTGTTATTTATTTTCTTTCATGTGATGAATAATAAACCGACTAGAATGATTTCCGCCATTTTTCCAGCTCTACGCAGGAATCCTGCACCATTTTCTGGCCTATCTTCAGCCTAAAGTTCCGCACGTGGATAAACTAACACAAAGGTTTAATGTTGGACGGAAACCCCGGGTTAACCTTTTTTGGCCAACATTTAACACATAAAAAACACTTTTCGCGCGAGTTTATTAGCATTTAAAGTTCATTTTAAATGAAGAGTTGACGAAGACTCTGTATTAATAGATGCAAATGTCAGTTCCGTCACCTTTGGCCCATATTGTGAACACATGCCAAGCGGTGTTTGTGATTTAAATCATTTTGTCACGAGATTCACATGATTTTTACGCGCCGTCTGAATCGGAATATTTTAATGGATAATGAAAACCTGCGGTTTTTACTGATATTTTTGTTCACAAATTCAACACCACGTTACTGCGTTTAAGGTGTTTTTTTTTAAATACATAATGGTTGTGTTCCTGAATTAAAGGTTGCGTAAAGTCAACCGGGAATTAATATTTGGTTTTTAGAAAACGTGGCCGTCAGTTCTGTCGGTGTTTGTCCAATATTGTGACAGAAATCATTTGATATCGTGATGTTCGCGGTGTTCACGATGTTGCGCTCTGGACGAACGAGCGTCACCTCGATTTTAGCCACTTGTTTAAAAGCAAAGTTGACGAAAAAGGGATGCAAAAAAATGATTTTAGCAACTGACGTGATTTTTATAAAGTTCCGTCTGGTCCGTTGACAGTCAAACGTCACCAGGACTGGTGAGATTTGTCCAAACGTGCCTTAGTATTTCACACATTTCGCGGACGATTATGTGAGTTTTGTGTAAAACATTTAAAGTGGACTTGATAAGAATGTGTTAAAGTGAAGTGCGACCGTCACGTGGTCATTTTTCGGACCATATTTTGGACAAAACACTGTTTTCTGCTCAGTCCGCTCGAGCGCCATCTTTTGTTTCTATTTTTTCATCATCCTGCCGATACAGTTTTTTTTAAAGACAAAAAAAAGAAGGAGTCACATCATTTGTGTCCCACACTTTGACACTGACGAACCAATGTTTCTGCCCCCCCCCCCCCCCCCC